ATCCCTGTTTTTAAGATGACAAAATTCCTGAGTCTCAGAGACATTAAGTAACTTGCCCCAGTGACCTAGAAATGGCAGAGACTGGATAAGAATTTAGGTCTTTTTGACTCCCAATTCTTTTATTTTTGACACCATACTATACTGCTTACTATGTATTATTTTTATTCCTTGCAACCACCTCACAAGGACAATATTATTACCTGTATTTGAAATATGAAACTAAGTTAAATTTTTTCACACAGCTAGAAAGTGTTGGAGGTAGGCTTCTTTCGTCGAACTAAGTGGCCCCAAAGCCTACACTCTTTCCATTAAAGTTTATTATAAACCACTTCAAAGTACTTTTATTTTAAACCAATTTAACACCTTTTTTGAAATAGGTGGAGGCATAAATAAATGTATACATATAAAGCAGGCACATAAGGTAATATATAAGGAAACATTTTCATGTGTGCTCAAAGAATACTTGTTTGATTAATTGAAAAAGGTACTATTGTTGAGTTTTTCTCTTTGAAGTATAGAAGAGCATAAAAAGCAGCCATGAGGTACCAGACATTTGTCTGCCTCCATTAAGCTGCATTCCCCCTCTGACTGTAGGCATCATTAGATTTATTATGATTTTTAAAGTAAGAATTTAAAATATTATTGTGGCACTTGGATGGTCCTAATATAGCTCATATCATAAACCTAGGCTTATATCAGTACATCTGTTCTTATTTTAAATTAGCTTACAGTGGATTTAGAGGTCTAGGGAGCTAAAACCTAATTTTGTACTATTACCAAGATGGCTGTGAATCAGACGTCACTGGTGAAGTCAGCATCAGTCAGGGAGACAGCTTTTCTTAGCTGTATCTATTAGTCTTGGTCATGTAGTAGCCAAGAGTCTTGCTGTTGCTGTTTAACTGATGTTAGAAGACTAGAATTACAGAATGAGTGGATATTAGACACACTTGCTCATGTGTTATAATTTCTTCATTTCTTTCAATTTACATCAAGCAGAGACGGAAATACTCATTTGTGTGTATGTTCCTCAGTTGGTCAATACATAAGAAAAACAGAAGACTTGCCATGTTAGGTCAATCCCATCTCTGTTGAGCCTAAAATATTGTCTTTAACAATGATATCTTTGAATGATTCACTGGAATTGAGAGTTACCGTTCATAATGCCAGTCTCAAAATGTAAGAGATACATGCACCCACCCCCAATTGCTAACATTTCTTACAAGGCCTTAGTCACCTTTTAAAATCCTTATTTTTATGTTTTTCATCATATTTTGAGGGAGGAGTACCTGTGTTTTGTGATTAGAAACTTATTCTTACTTGAACCTCCAACATCTATCTGTAAATAGGGAGAATCCTGCTACAGATTATCATGCAGTGGGATATAGCTGTGACAGGGCCTTCAGTGCCTGTTATTTGTTACTTTTAAACCTTGTGATATAAGGTAATACTTCTTTATGCTTATTCTCAATTTGTTTCCTTAAACTTGAATAGAAGTCCCTTGTCCTCTATTTACTATGTTCATTGTTTTAATAGTTATTTAGATTTTGGTTCTGGCTCCTTTCAGCCTCACTTTTTTCAGACTGAATTTTAAAAATCTGACCTCCAGTTTCAACCCCATTCCCTCACAGATATCGGTTGATCTTGCCTGAATCTTTTATAATTACATATAAAGTCTTTCTTGGGATATAGTGACTGAAAGAATGTAAAATGTTGATTTAAGTATAGAAAAAAAAGGATACCATTTTCCATTTGGTTCTTTTTTATGTCTTTTAGTTCTTTGCTGAGACTTTCTATGATTTTATTTGTTTGAAGAGTGTAATTGCTTGGTGTAGTGTTTTAATGATAAGTACTTTAAAATACTTAGAGTTAGTCAACATTTGTGTCATTTCAGTGTTGACATCTGTTGATTGTGTTTTTTCATTTGAATTGAGATTTTCATAGTTCTGAATATGACAAGTAGTTTTGTTTTGTTCTTTTTTTTGGTGAGGAAGATTGGCCCTGAGCTAACATCTGTTGCCACTCCTCCTCTTTTTGCTGAGGAGGATTGGCCCTGGGCTAACATCCTTGCCCATCTTCCTCTACTTTATATGTGGGACACCTGCCACAGCATGGCTTGACAAGCATTACGTAGGTCTGCACCTGGGATCCGAACCCATGAACCCCGGGCTGCCAATGCAGAGCGTGTGAACTTAACCACTATGCCACTGGGCCGGCCATGACAAGTAGTTTTTGATTGTATCCTGGATCTTTTGTGTATTATTTTATGAGCTTCTGCTTCTTGTTTTTTATCTTAGCATGTATTCAACCTGTTTAGGTTCAATATGCGCATCCTGGCCCACTGTTTTGGCTTGTGGTTAAAATGTCAGTTTAGTTTTCGAAGCCTTTACAATGTTCTTCTGGTTTGCCTTACTTATGTGTTATCCAGGGGCCAATATAAAACCTGGGTGGTATTCCACACCATAGTTAGTTCTCAAAGTTTTTGCTATGTTGATCTGGTCAGTTTTATGCACTGGGTGCTTATAGATCTGCCCAGGACTTCATATGCAGATTTAGAAAATTCCTTTCTCCAGCTCTCTACTCTCAGTAATCCTCCCTCCCCTCTCCAATTGGTAGAGAATAGAGTTCTGCCTCATGATTGCATGATGGAGATGGAGAACAGGGCTCTGTCTAGTCTCTGTGAATGCAGCACCCAGTGGGAGGTGGAAGGGATACCATCTCATTTTGAAGGGCACGGATGTGAGACAGGCTCTCCTCAGAGTCTATAGCTGAGGAGAGGGACCTATTTTATTGTTACAGCGTGATGGTAGAAGACAGGGCTCATCCCACAGTTCTCACAGTTGGGGAGTGGGTATTGTCTTGTTATTCAGGGTGCAGATGCTGGACATGGCTCATAATAGCTGCAGCTGTAGCAGGGAGGAGATGGAGTCTATCTTTTTTCATGCAGTTTGCCTGGATTAGGGCAGGTACAGTCAAAATGTTTGTTCTGCTGAACTGCCCTTTTCCTGGTCCTTTGACCAGAGATAGTAAGCTTTTCTTGGGACTTTTTTTGGCTGTGTCTGTTAGTGTTTCTAGGTTGTGGGTCTCTAGTGCTTATGTTAGGATATATAGGAGGCAAAACAAATAAAAGGACTCAGGGATCTCACGGAGGTTTTTCCTTGAATCTCAAGGTCCCTATCCAGTCCTCTTTCTTTTCTTTGTCTTTTAGTGTCTTCTGTCAGTTGCTTTTTGAATTTTATTGAGAGTTTAAAAACTGTAGTAGTAGGAGAAATAGGGTGGAGTGTGTTTACTCCATCTTGTCTGGAATTAGACAGTTTTCTGCTTGCTTAATCTTTTATTTTCTCACTATTTTTTTCCCCCAATGCATTTGCATTCTGTATATAAAGTACATAATTTGGCAATCATATTGGATTAATTACAAAGAAGACAAGTAGTACTGGAATATGAAATTGTTAGATGGGTATAGTTAGTATGTATCCAGTCTCTCTGTAACTTTGGAGAGCCAGTACCCATGAAGAGTTGCAAATTAGGTACCCAGTTATATATAGGAGCCATTGCATTTAGGTTTTGAAAGGCACTAGATTAGCATAAAGTTAAGGTATCTAAAGTATGCTTTATCTAAACTTAAAGCATGAAAAAGTATAAATAATTACTTTTCTACACTGAATAAAATCATCTTAACTGATTACTATTTTCTATTTTAAGTTGGCTATCATTATTGTATAATAAGTGAAGTCAGTAGTTCTCCATTGTAAAATTGAAAACTTCTTTTTATTTTTTTAATGAACTGCTAAAGGACATCAATATTTTTTATATTATTATATTGATATGTGCTTTATTTAAAATCATTCAACTGTATCTTTATTTGAAATAACTATTTGGAATGATTTTAAACTCGTTTGTAGTTTTTTATATTGTATGCTATATAAAAAACTACAGCACACCGTATAAAAATTCTAATTCTAATTCATGTCCACATTTTTGCAGTTGCAGTTCTTTATTTGCCTGGCAGACTTCGTTGTTGTTATTATTATTATTATTATTATCCTTCTTGGCTTCTGCTAGTGTATTGCTTCTTTTTCAATGACTGTGCTATTAATTTCCTACACAGATCAAAGGAAAACTGGCAAGAGAGAATGATTGTAATTAGTTGGTAAGAGAAGAGGGTGACAGCTTTACAATCATGCTTTCTTATGAATTGATTACCTTCAATCTATGAATCAAAATTCAGGTATTAAACAATCAGCAATTCCTTTAATAAAAATATGTGAAAGAAACATCCTCATGAGACTTAACATATATATTTAATTTAAATCTACTGCCTATGTTTCTGGTAATGTGCCATCTAAAGTATCAAAAATATAATTCACTCATTTGTTTAACATTTATTTAATACTTATTATATGGCAGACATTGTGTTGGGTCACAAAAATGAGTAAGATATGGTTTCTGTTCTTAAGGAGTTCGTACCCTAGTGAGGAATATAAATATATGAACAATCAACTCTAATAGTCTAATTAATAACTCTAATTTACTCACTCAGTAAATATTTGTACACTCAATAAATATTTGGTAAATGTTAACTGAATTAGTATAGATAATTTTCACTCATTTTCCTTAGTTGATCATTATACCTATCATTAAAACTGTGATCTTGAAGATGTCATTTAAACTACAGATGGTCCTTGACTTATGATGGTTCAACTTATGATTTCTGAACTTTAGATGGTGTGAAAGTGATAAGCATTCAGTAGAAAACGTACTTTGAATTTTGATCCTTGCTCAGGCTAGTGATATGCGGTAGGATACTCTCTTGTGATGCTGAGCAGTGGCAGTGAGCCGCAGCTCCCAGTCAGCCACACAATCACGAGGGTGAACAACCGATACACTGACAACCATTCTGTACCCATATGGTCATTCTGTTTTTCACTTTCAGTATAGTATTCAATAAATTACTTGAGATATTCAACACTTTATTATAAAATAGGCTTTATGTTAGATGATTTTGCCCAACTGTAGGCTAATGTAAGCGATCTGAGCACAGTTAAGGTAGGCTAAGCTAAGGTGTGATGTTTAGTAGACTAGGTGTATTAAATGCATTTTCGACTTACGATATTTTCAATTTACGGTGAGTTTATCGGACGTAATCCCATTGTAAGTCGAGGAAGATCTGTATATGAGCTTTAGTTCTCAATATGTTAAGTTGAGCTTTGTCAGAAATAATTCTGCCTCCGTATGTTGTTGTGAGGATTAAACGAATTGATGCATGGGAGAGCATTTTATAGACATTAAGGTACTATGTTAGTTAATGTAAAGAATCCTATCCTCGACTTTTATGCTGTTATATGAATACAAAGGCAAACAAAAGCAAGTGTCCTGGTTTTTTTTTTTTTTTTATAATTTGTTTTGCTCCTCATCAGCTCTTGGATCTTCAGCAAGTTATTTCCTATCAGACTTTTTTCATGATGCCTGGAATAGCAGGGAGCCTCCAGGAAACTTTTTTTTTTTTTTTTTTGGGGAAAATTAGCCCTGAGCTAACATCCATGCTAATCCTCCTCTTTTTACTGAGGAAGACCGGCTCTGAGCTAACATCTATTGCCAATCCTCCTCCTTTTTTTTCCCCCAAAGCCCCAGTAGATAGTTGTATGTCATAGTTGCACATCCTTCTAGTTGCTGTATGTGGGACACGGCTTCAGCATGGCTGGAGAAGCGTGCGTCAGTGTGCGGGCCGGGATCCGAACCCGGGCTGCCAGTTAGCGGAGCGCACGCACTTAACCACTAAGCCATGGTTGGGCCCACAAAGTGTCCTATTTTAAATCCATTTTCTTTTTCTTTGTTTTTTTTTCAGAGAAAGAGTCACCCTGAGCTAACATCTGTTGCCACTCTTCCTCTTTTTTTTTTCCCCGCCCCAAAGCCCCAGTACATGGTTGTATATCCTAGTTGCAGATGCTTCTACTTCTTCTATGTGAGCCACATAGAAGCGGCTCCACAGCATGGCAACCGACAGACGGATAGTGTGGTTCCATGACTGGAAAATAAACCTGGGCCACCGAAGCGGTGAGAGTGCTGAACTTTAACGACTAGGCTAAGAGGGCTGGCTCAAAATCCGTTTTCTTATTTCTGTGTTAGCAGTGTTCTACTTTAGAATGTAGCTCTTGAACTAGAAAGTGAGCTCTTTGAAGGCAGGATATTCTGAGTCTTTATCTGTCCTGGCTACTACTCTACCCTTATTGCCTAGAACTATGCCTGAAATAGTAGGTGCTTAAAAAAATTTGTTGATGGACAGCTTTGCTTTGAGGTTAGAAGGTTTCATTATGCTCTGAAACAAACAAACAAACAAAACCCTTCAGTTCTTTACATACCTGTCTCTTCCCCCTGAAAAACATTATGTATATTAATAGCAGGATGAATAAGAAAGATAGCAGATTGAAGCAGTAAATATATATTAATTAGATAAAAGAGTCTGACAAAGTATAAACTCAACTTCCATTGAAATAAGTAAAAATATTGCCTTTAGGTATTGCATTTGAGTGCTTTACTTTTCTTGATCCCTCCACATTCCTCTCCCTGAAAAGGGCACAGTACTTTTCTGTACACCATTTTATTTATATTTGTGTATATATGTATGTATAGATATACATTGCTTAAAAATTAGAAAATAGGTAAGTATAAAGATGAAAACCACTCATAAGACTCATCTTTAATTACAGGATAGTAATACTGCCTATCTTAGAGAATTAAGAGGATTAAATGAGTTAAGATTTGTAAATTACTTAGAATAGTGCCTGGTACATAGTGAATCACTACGTAGATGTTTATGTACTAAAATAGAATAAAATCCCACAAGTGAATGACATCCACTATTTGTGTTATACACACACACATATACACTAGACGTTAGATTTTTCCTTCAAGAATTTTCACAGTGAGCGTAAGGAGAAGAACTTCTGATAATGAAACTTGTTAAACAATGAAGCAGAAACATAATCATCCACTTGTTATTTAGAGAGTAAATAACAGTATTCAAATATAATTGGATTTCCTTTCATTTTGTTGATTTGTAGGAATTCTTTGAATAGTCTAGAACTTGAATGCCTTTTAATGTTGCAGGTATCTTCTTGCAGTGTGTTACCTACCTGTTATGGTAGGTGTCCTATGGTGTCCTTCATTAAACAGACACTTTTAATTTTAATGTAGTCAAATGCATAATTTTTTACTTCATTTTGATTATAAAAAATCTTTATTCACACCAAGATGTCAATGAGATATTTTTCTTTATTTTCTTATGTTGTTTAGTTTTATCTTTCACATTTAGTACTTTAATCCAATTTGAGTTTTTTCATTTTTTAAAGTGGTGTGAAGCAGGGCTTGTCAAACTACAGCCTGTAGTCCAAATATGGCCCAAATCTGGCTTAATTTTTATACAGTCCATGAGCTAAGAAAGATTTTATATTTTTAAATGATTAAAAAAATTAAATAATACTACTACTTTGTGATATGTGAAAATTATATGAAATTCAGTTTTCAATATTCATAAATAAAGCTTTATTGGAACACAACCATGTTCATTTGTTTATTGTCTATGTATTGTTTATGGCTGCTTTTGTGCTAAAATGGCAGAGTTGAGTAGTTGCAACAGAGACTGTATAGCTTGCAAAGCATAAAATATTTACTATCTGGCCCTTTACAGAAAAATTTGCTGACCCCTGGTGTAAAGTAAGGATAGAACTTCACTTTTCTCCTTGCAGTGAGTTAGTTTCTATGATCTCATCAACCAAAAAATGAATTTTTTTTTCCCACTGATTTGTGATACTACCTATTCTACCGGTTTTGTTTGTTTGTTTTAATCACTATGGTATTGTAAGTTTCACCATTTAAACCACAGGGGTCCTTAGAAGCAGGTTCCCTTTTACAATCAGCATCAACTTTGTCTATTTTGAATTTAATTGATCATTATTTTCCTATTCATGATTCTTTTCTCTTCAGCACTCCTTGTGCTGAAAGTCATCAGATAATGTTTATTTAATGTCATAAATCTGCCTGGAGGTATAGGGTGAACTTGGTGACCTCCTCTAGTCCCTTCCTTTTTTTTTTTTAAGCTAAAAAAACTCTGGTTTAATTCTCCTGTCTGTAACAAGGAAATGAGTCAACATTTATTGAGAGCGTGTCATGTGCCACTCATTGTACTATGTGTTTTTATAACATTCCGAACATGTGGAAAAGTTTAGAGAGTAATAACACACGCAGCATGAATTTTCACCCATTACTTTGCTTAATACTAACTACCACTCTATGAGGTAGCTATTTTAGTTCCCTTGTTTTTTTTTTTTTGTGAGGAAGATCAGCCCTGAGCTAACATCTGCCAATCCTCCTCTTTTTTTAGCTGAGGAAGACTGGCCCTGGGCTAACATGCATGCCCATCTTTTCTCCACTTTATATGGGATGCCGCCACAGCATGGCTTGTCAAGCGGTGCACTGGTGTGCACCTAAGATCCCAACCGGCAAACCCCGGGCTGCTGCAATGGAGCCCGTGCACCCAACAGCTTGCGCCACCAGGCCGGCCTCTTAGTTCCCATTTTTACAAATGGATTGTAAAATGGTTAAGTAACTGGCCAAGTAGTGAACATTGGAGCCAGTATTCAAACCCCAGTCTGCTTGAATCCAAAGCCCATACTCTTCCATATAAAAACTGAAAAATTAAATTGGGAGATCATGTTGTTTCCTTATTAACCTCCAATATGTCAGATCAAATTCCTCATCATCCTCGTTTTCTTTGAAAGTATCTTGTGGAAGGAATCAGATACTTAATGTCTTTCTTTATTCATTTTAAGTTTTTTCTGAAAAACCTCATTATTTTAAGTGCTTTCATATGTTGTGACAGCAGGTTCCTTTGTCAGCCATCCTGTTCAGAATAAATAACCTGTGCTATGCCAGCATGATTTATTGCTGCTATTTCCTTTCTTTGTTTTGAGTAATTTTATCATAAAAGGATATAAAGTGTTGTAGACATGTGCAAATGCTTGAGTGACTAGAGCAGTTCACCTGGCTGCTTGGCTAACTGCCTGTGGACAGTGCTCCATTTAATAGTAGAAGAGAGAAGGTAGGAGAGCAGATTAGTTTTCTTAAACAAGATTGGTATACTGAATTATATCACCATTTCTTCTCTAATGACTCCCACAGAGAACTGCCAAAAGATTTCAAAAGATCAGAGAACACATACATACAATTTATTTCTGTTTGTGATGTGGGCAGAAAGAACTCGTTTAGCAAGTTCCCTTTCTAAACAGGTGGTGCTCATTTTAAATCCCCTTTCTTGGGGACTTTGAAAATAGATTTTACATCTGTATGTATAAGATTGTTTAATCTTTAAACTGCTTATAAGCATAGGGTGCACTGGATGGTTTCTTCTTTTTTAAATCAGATGGTATCTTAAAAATTTTATATATATTTAATTATGAAAAAATATAATTACACTAGAGAAAATTTGGAAAATAAAGGCAGGAAGAATAAAATCGCCCATAACCTTGCCACTCTAAGAAAAATACTAATAATATTTTGATATATTTTGTTCTTGTCTTTTTTTAATCTTATGCATTTAAAAAAACCTTAGAGCTGATCTTCTGTATAATATCTTAACATCTCTTCTGGACCCAAGGCTATATGAGTTATTGTGGTGATGCCAAGGAATTTCAAAATGTGTATGTTGGTGTCATTCTGTGTATTCGTTTAATCAGATATAGATACTCTTCTAACATGGACTATTTTGTTGCCTTGTCCACTTTGAATTATTAATTCTTGTACTCTACTATGGAAAGATAGTTTTTCATTCTTCATGATTTACTTGGATTTCACAGTTGTAAAAAGTAATGACCCTATTCTTTGTGAGAAATTTTTAGATTTTTGAGAAATGTATTTTTCTCTATAAATCTCTAGAAATTAATGATAGTTTTTTTCCTAATGTTTGATGCTATGACAAATCACCATATATTTTGGATTGTGCCTCTATTTACGGACATTAAATGTATCATTTGGGGATTAATTATTTTTGGTTTCCCTGATAGCACAGTTAATTGCTTTTTATACTCAAATTCTATTATGTAATTTAGGTATCTAGAAACTAAAGAGAGCCATTTTCAATCTTATTTTTGCTACCATATAAATGTGACCAAAATGTACCTGGAAGTCTCAGCCATGCATCCATTCCTCCTGATGTTTTTGCATGTTTACTATGTGCCTAGCATTGCTCAAAATTCTTGGGTCCAGAGATGAATAAGACGTAATCCCTGCTTTCAGGGGGCTCACTTACATAAAATTATTAGGACTTTATGTGCTACATTTATTTGGTTAATATTTTTGGATACATTGGCTTACTATTTTTATTTAAATCTTATTCATTTATTTTCAAATGTATAATACAAAAGTTACAAAAAATAGGAAAAGTTTCTTTTCCAAATCTTTTTCCCATCCACCTCTTGTCCTCCATTAGGAGAATATATTCACAGAAATGAAATGTAAATTTTTTAAAGGCAGGAATAGTTAAAATTTTTGAATTTAGTTTTGAAAAGGAAATTCAGTTTTAAAAAGGGTACTTTCATTTGTTAAGTAACCACTGTATGCCAGGCACTGGCCAAATATCTTATTTAATCCTCTTAATATCCTTTATCTAGTATTATCACAATTTTGTTAATTACAGACAGAGGCTCAATGAAATCAAATAAGTCGCCCATGGTCACATAAATACAAAGTAACATAGCTAAGAAATAGAAACTAGGTCCATCTAAATTCTCCTGAGCCCATTCTCTTTTCATCAACTGTCCTACGTAAAATCAATGCTTTGATTCAATTGAGTTTACATTAAAAGGTTATTATTGTTTTTCCCTCAGAGAATGGTTAGGAAATAGATTTTTACCCCAAACTGATAATGATAAACTTGAGTAACTAGTGAAAGAAATTTGGGAAAAGATATATGAAGGAAAGATTATAGTTTTTAAACGATACACTCAATATTTAGTTGCTCATGTTAATATAAAAGAAGAATTAAAAATCATTTTGTCTTGAATTTACATTCCATTATGGATTTATTGTCATATATATATTTAACTTAGAAAAAATTTAAGCTTGCATTCCCTGGGCAAATACCATCTGGCAGTGAAGGAACATCTTTTGTGTCAGGGGGAAGACAATTTGGCCTTGAAAAGTTGCCACATATATAATCCAGATTGATTATGTAACATTTGTTGACTAACTCTAATATGGAAAAGACTTCAGCATTCATCGACAACCACTTTATTGACTAACAGTTTGACAAATGTTCTCTTCCATTGTTTGTAAGTATAGTGTCTCATTCTCATAGGCAAAGGTCTAAACAGCTAGAGTTTAGGAGCCATAATTTCTAAAACACTGATCTGTTTGCTGTGAGTGAAATGCAAAAACTCAGTCCATTTATCGATGTATACAAATGTTAAAATATTTGGAATTATATAGGAAATGATGTGGTCGTTAATGGAAATGTTCGTATTTTCCCTCTGAATATGTCTAGATATTTACATGGATCTTGTGGCAGAAAGGGGCATGGCCCTTTTTAGGAACTAAAAGAAAGCCAAAGTGACTGAAGTACAGTTTAAACAGGGATCTTGAACAGATGTGGGCAGGTGGTAGTAGTAGCTTCAAGAACTACTACGTAGAGGTAGAGGGAGCGAGAAAGTGTTTGGTTTCTCTTCTGTCTTACTCTTTCATTTATGTTTACATATATATTAGAGAAGAGAAGTCTTTCATCACGTGGTCTGTTTTCTTCACCTCTTCTCCTCTTTTTTGTCGTTCTGGTATTACACATGTTTGGTGCCTTAGTTTTATTTTAATATCTTTTCATAATATCCTTAGCCTCATCTTTCTTTAGATATTGGTTCCCTACTAAGATCCAACAATAACATAGTCTGCGATATAGCTTGGCTGCTTCCTTGGGGAGCACAGTTCTTTTCTCTTGAGCTAGTTAGATTTCCTAGAGCAGAATCTTTCAGACTTCATGCCCTTCATAGAGGGCATATGCCTGGCTGCTAGTGCTCTGGGGACCATGTTGGAGAAAAAAGCTAGAGTCTTAACATTCATTATATAAGATTTCACTTAATTTCTCTATGTTCAGTATATTGCCCCTGCCCTTATCTCTGCCTGGTATCCACCAGTTTAGTCATTCTCTGTTTTACTCTCTCCAGAGAAGATGCAGTCAAGCTTCTGCTGAGGTTAGGGAGAGGCATGAAGTGAGTGAGGGAATCTGAGTCCTAATCTTGTTCTTAAAGAGACTTTCAACTTGTTTTTAGTCCCACTTTTACTCTTTACTTCTAGAGTACCTGCCAATTCTTGGTACTGCCAATTCTTAAGCCTTCTGGGGTTCTATGATATTAGTTTGCTTCTTGGTTTTCTTCACTGCTGGCTTAGGATTCAGCTTTTTCAGGACTGCTGGAGTCAGTTACCACTTGTCTGTCTGCTTTGCAACTCACTAAATTTTGCTGCCATTGGATCCTAACCCATTCTCTTGATACACAAACAAACAAATAAATAAAACACTACCGTTGTTTCTTTGGGGGAGTTTTTGGGAGACAATGAAACCAAATACTTGTATTCATAACTCCACTCTTGGTTAATCTAATAATTTGAGTATAATAGCTCTGGTTTACTAATTATATTGTGTAAGTTTTATGTATCTATCTGCCTACCTACGTATCTACCTACCTACCTATCATCTATCTTCATCGTCATCTTTATCTCTCCCTCTCTGTTTCCCTCTATCCCTTTATCTCTTTATCTTTCTATCATCTATCTATTTTTGTCTGCTTGTTTTAGCAGTTTCTGAGATGGCTGTATTTACATTTTCAGTTATAATTGTTGATTTTTCTGTTTATTCCTGCAGGTTTGTCTGTTGTTTGATCTACCTGGGTACATATATAGATATGATGGATACATCTTCTTTTGTTGTTTCTTTTACAGATAAAGATAAACCATTATTTGTCCCCCTAGCTATTTCGTCAGCTTATCAGTCAGGGTCCAAGAGGAGATAAACAAAAATTTCATCAGGGAAGGTTTCATATAAAGAGTGAACTGTTTATAAGAAATTAAGTGCTAAAGAGGGATAAAAGAGAATACCCTAGTGCTGAAGGAGTACTCAAGGAAGGGATAAACTTGAAAACCAGGACCCCACCTCAGGCTGGGATTCAGAACTTGTTGGAGAGGGTGTATCATAGCCCATTGGAGAATGGAGAGAAATTTGTTATGTTGCCCTGGGCCAGAGCTGGTCTGCTGTCTACAGAGAGAGCATGGTAGGAAGAGAACCACAGTCTCAGGCTGGCAAGTTGGAAGCTTTCTACTGGAGTGCTGGCAGGTTGGGGATGGTAAGCCGGTTACCAAGGGCCAGCACATTTTTAGGCAAGAAACCCTCCACTGGAGCCTTCTGGGCGGGAAACTGCCTGCTATGGTGTTGATGAAATTCACCAAAAAACTGCTTGTGCAGAGTACTGTTGAACACTCTGGGGAGTAGGCTGCGGCACTGGCTGACTTGCTGGAAAGCTGCTAGGAAGTCACCTGTCGGAAGTGCTGTTGAATTCTGTGGGAAACTGAATGGACATCCTCAGAACTCACTGGAAATCCACTGATGGTTGTTGCTTGCTTAACTCACCACTGAGAAGCCAGTGGGGTTCCTGTGGACCTTGTCGGGAAGCTGCCTATGGGAGTGCTGCTGAACTCTAGATTTGTTCTTAGAGTGTTTACTCTTATCCTAAGACCCATGGTCATGTCTATTTATATCTCTTAACTTAAATATATCAATATCTACATAATCTTTCTAATAAGACAAGTATCTTAACATACCGTCTCGTTCCTTTGGTGTAAAATCCCTTCTCACTGACCCACAATATTGATATCGTCTAGAATTTTAGTTTTTTAAAATATGCTTTTGCTTTTTTTAATTGATGTTGTAACAGTTTATAACTGTGAAATTTTAGTTTTACATTATTCTTTGTCAGTCATCATATAAATGTGTCCCTTCACCCCTTGTGTCCACCCCCCCAACTCCCTTCCCCTGGTAACCAGCAAACTGTTCTCTCTTTCCATGTGTTAGTTTATCTTCCACATATGAGTGAAATCATGCGGTGTTTGTCTTTCTCTGTCTGGCTTATTTCACTTAACATAATACCCTCCAGGTCCATCCCTGTTGTTGCAAATGGGAGGATTTTGTCTTTTTTTTTATGGCTGAGTAGTATTCCATTGTGTATGTATACCACATCTTTATCCAGTCATCAGTCGAGGGACACTTGGGTTGCTTCCACTTCTGGGCTATAGTGCGTAATGCTGCAATGAGCATAGGGGTGCATAAGCCTCTTTGGATTGTTGATTCAGATTCACTGGATAGATACCCAGTAGTGGGTACAGCTGGATCCTAGGGTATTTCTATTTTTAATTTTTTGAGGAATTGCTGTACTGCACCAGTTTGCATTCCCACCAGCAGTGAATGAGGGTTCCTGTTTCTCCAAAACCTCTTCAACATTTGTTGTTTTTGTCTTGGTGGTTATAGCCATTCTAACAGGTGTAAGGTGATATCTTAGTGTAGTTTTTGATTTGCATTTCCCTGATGATTAGTGATGTTGAGCATCTTTTCATGTGCCTGTTGGCCATCTGTATATCTTCCTTGAGAAAGTATCTGTTCATCTCCTCTGCCCATTTTTTGATCGGGTTGTTTGTCTTTTTGTTGTTCAGTTGTGTGAGTTCTTTATATATTATGGAGATTAACCCCTTGTCAGATATATGATTTGCAAATATTTTCTCCCAGCTGGTAGGTTGGCTGTTCATTTTGATCCTGGTTTCATTTGCCTTGTAGAAGCTCTTTAATCTGATGAAGTCCCACTTGTTTATTTTTTCTTTAGTTTCTCTTGTCTGAGTAGACATGGTATCCGAAAAGATTCCTTTATGACCAATGTCAAATAGGGTACTGCCTATATTTTCTCCTAGGAGTTTTATAGTTTCACGTCTCACCTTCAGGTCTTGGATCTGAATTTTTGTGAATGGCTTTCATTCTTTGCGTGTGCCTGTCCACTTTTCTCAGCACCATTTATTGAAGAGACTTGCCTTTCTCCATTGTATGTTTTTAGCTCCTTTGTGGAAGATTAGCTGTCCCTAGATTTGTGGTTTTATTTCTGGGCTTTCACTTCTGTTCCATTGATCTGTGTGACTGTTTTTGTACCAGTACCATGCTGTTTTGATTACTATTGCTTTGTAGTATGTTTTGAAGTCAGGGATTGTGATGCCTCCAGCTTTGTTCTTTTTTCTCAAGATTGCTTTAGCTATTCAGGGTCTTTTGTTGCCCCATATGAATTTTAGTATTCTTTGTTCTATTTCTGTGAAGAATGTCATTGGGATTCTGATTGGGATTGCATGGAATCTGTAGATTGCTTTAGGTAATATGGACATTTTAACTATGTTTATTCTTCCAATCCATGTGCATGGGATATCATTCCATTTCTTTATGTCATCATTGATGTCTTTCAATAGTGTCTTATAGTTTTCATTGTATAGGTCTTTCACCTCCTTGGTTAAATTTATTCCTACTATTTTATTCTTTTTGTTGCGAGTGTAAATGGGATTGTCTTCTTGAGTTCTCTTTCTGTTAGTTCGTTATTGGAGTATAGAAATGCAACGGATTTTTGTAACTTGATTTTGTACTTGCAACTTTGCTGTGGTTGCTAATTATTTCTAATAGTTTTCCAATTGATTCTTTTTCTGTATATAAAATCATGTCATCTGCAAACAGCAAGAGTTATCACTTCTTCATTGCCTATTTGTATTCCTTTATTCCTTTTTCTCGCCTAATTCCTCTGGCCAAAACATCCAGTACTATGTTGAATAAGAGTGGCCAGAGTGGGCATGCTTGTCTTATTCCTGTTCTCAGAGGAATGGCTTTCGGTTCTTCCCTGTTGAGTATGATGTTGGCTGTGGGTTTGTCATGTATGGCTTTTATTATGTTGAGGTACTTTCCTTCTATACCCATTTTCTTAAAAGTTTTTTTTTTTTTTTATCACAAATGGATGTTGGATCTTGTCAAATGCTTTCTCTGCATCTATTGAGATGATCATGTGGTTTTTATTCCTCATTTTGTTAATGTGGTGTATCACATTGATTGATTGGCAGATGTTAAACCATCCCTATGTCCCTGGTATAAATCCCACTTGATCATGGTGTATGATCTTTTTAATGTATTGCTGTATTTGGGTTGCCAATATTTTGTTGAGGATTTTTGCATCTGTGTTCATCAGTGATATTGGCCTGTAATTTTCCTTCTTTGTATTGTCCTTATATGGCTTTGGTATCAGGGTGATGTTGGCCTCATAGAATGTGTTAGGAAGTGTTCTATCTTCCTCTATTTTTTGGAGTAGTTTGAGACGGATAGGTATTAAATCTTCTTTGAATGTTTGGTAAAATTCTCGAGAGAAGCCATCTGGTCCTGGACTTTTATTTTTGGGGAGGCTTTTGATTACTGTTTCAATCTCTTTACTTGTGATTGATCTATTCAGATTCTCTATTTCTTTTTGGTTCAGTTTTGAGAGGTTGTATGAGTCTAAGAATTTATCCATTTCTTGTAGATTGTCCAATTTGTGGGCATATAGTTTTTCATAGTATTCTCTTATAATCCTTTGTATTTCTGTGGTATCCATTGTAATTTCTCCTCTTTCATTTCTAATTGTATTTATTTGAGCCTTTTCTCTTTTTTTCTTAGTGAGTCTGGCTTAAAAGGGTTTGTCAGTTTTGTTTATCTTCTCAAAGAACCAGCTGTTTGTTTCATTGATCCTTTCTACTGTTTTTTTCTTGTTTCAATTTCATTTATTTCTGCTCTAATTTTTATTATTTCTCTCCTTCTGCTGACTTTGGGCTTTATTTGTTCTTCTTTTTCTAATTCTGTTAGGTGTAGTTTAAGGTTGCTTATTTGAGATTTTTCTTGTTTGTTAATGTGGGCCTGTATTGCTATGAGTTTCCCTCTCAGGACCACTTTTGCTGCATCCCATATTAGTTGGTGTGGTGTATTTTCATTTTCATTTTTCTTCAGATACTTTTTGATTTCTCCTTTAATTTCTTCAATGATCCATTGGTTGTTCAGTAGCATGTTGTTTAGTCTTCACATCTTTGTCACTTTCCCAGTTTTTTCTTGTAGTTGATTTCCAATTTCATAGCATTATGGTCGGAAAAGATGCTTGTTATGATTTCAATCTTCTTAAATTTATAGAGGCTTGCCTTGTTCCCCAACATTTGGTCTATCCTTGAGAATGTTCCATGCATGCTTAAGAAGAATGTGTAATCTGCTGTGTTTGGATGGAGTGCTCTATCTATATCTATTAAGTCCATCTCATCTAGTTTTTTGTTTAAGTCCACTATTTCCTTATTGGCTTTCCGTCTGGATGATCTATCCTTTGATGTAAGTGGAGTCTTAAGATCCCTTACTATTATTGTGTTGTTGTTAATATCTCCTTTTAGGTTTGTTAATAGTTGCTTTATGTACTTTGGTGTTCCTGTGTTGGGTGCATATATATTTATAAGTGATATGTGTTCTTGGTGGAGTGTCCCTTTTATCACTCTATATTGCCCCTCTTTGTCTCTCATTACCTGTTTTATCTTGAAGTCTACTTTGTCTGATATAAGTATGGCAACAGTTCCTTTCTTTTGTTTGCCATTAGCTTGGAGTATTGTCTTCTATCCTTTCACTCTGAGCCTGTGTTTGTCTTTAGAGCTCAGATGTGTTTCCTGGAGGCAGCATATTGTTGGATCTTGTTTTTTAATCCATCCTGCCACTCTGTGTCTTTTGATTGGAGAATTCAATCCATTTACATTTAGAATGATTATTGATATATGAGGCCTTGCTGTTGCTATTTTGTCACTATTTTCTGGTTCTTTTGCATTTCCTTGGTTTCTTGTCCCATGTGTTTCAGACTACCAGTTCACTTTGGTAGTTCTGTATGATGGTTTTCTTAGTTTTCTCTGTATTTATTGTATGTGTCTCTTTATGATTATTTGTTTAGTGGTTACCATGATGTTTGTATAAAAAAATCTCACGGATGAGGTAGTCCCTTTTCTGATGGCCTATTTCCTTTGACTAAGTCGATTCCATCCCTTCGCTCTTCCCCTTCTAAGTTATTATTGTCACAACTTATTCTATCTTGTGTTTTGAGTTTGTGTTTAAAGTGATGAGGTTATATTTATTTTTGGTGTTTTGCTTCCCTTAATCCTTGATGTTATAATTATTTGCTAACCTATTCTGATAGAGAGCTGCAGTTCTTTTGATTTTGTCTACCTATTTTTCTCACTGCTCAAAACTTTGTATCCACTTTCTCTCTTTTTTTTTTCATGCATCCGGCCCTTCTTGAGCATTTCTTGTCGTGGAGGTCTTGTGGCAATGAATTCCTTTAGCTTTTGTTTATCTGGGGTAGTTATTATTTCTCCATCATATCTGAAGGATATTTTCACTGGATAGAGTATTCTCGGCTGAAAGTTTTTGTCTTTCAGAATTTTGAATACATCATGCCACTCTCTCCTAAAGTTTCTGCCGAGACATCGGATGAGACCCTGATAGGAATTCCTTTATATGTTATTATTATTTTTTTTTTTTTGGCTTACTGCCCTTAATATTTTTTCTTTGTCATTGACTTTTGCCAGCTTTACTACTGTATGCCTTGGAGAGGGTCTTTTCATGTTTATGTATTTAGGAGATCTATTCACTTCATTCGCTTGTATTTCCAGCTCCTTCCCCAGGTTTGGGAAGTTCTCAGCTATTATTTCTTTGAACAAGCTCTCTGCTCCTTTTTATTCTCTTCTCCCTATGGAATACCTATAATCCTTAAGTTGCATTTCCTAATTGAGTCGGATATTTCTCAGAGATTTTCGTTTCATTTTAGTCTTAGTTCTCCTCCTCCATCGGGAGGATTTCTGCATTCCTGTCCTCAATATTGCTAATTCTTTCCTCCATATCGTCAGCTCAGTTTTTTAAAGATTTTAGATTTTTCTTTGTCTCCTCCATTGTGTTTTTCATCTCCAATATTTCTGATTGGTTTTTCTTTATAATTTCAATCTCTTTGTGAAGAAGTTCCTGATTTCATTGAATTGTCTATCTGTATTTTCTTGTAATTCGTTGAGCTTTTTTATGATAGCTATTTTGAATTCTCTGTCATTCAGGTTATAAATTTCTATGCCTTCAGGATTGATTTCTGGGTGCTTGTCATTTTCCTTCTGGTCTGGAGATTTAATATATTTTTGCATACTGCTTGAGGGCATGGGCTTACTTTTCCTCATGCTGAAAATATCTAGTTGTGGCTTCTACCTGCCTCCACTGGGTGGGGGTTAAGAGCTGTGTGTTCTGAGCCTGCCATGATCCATGGGCTCTCTGGCCGACCAGCTGTGCTGAAGCACCAGGCAGGGGGAGGGGCTCTTTCTTTCGCCTGCCTGATCCTGGGGGCCTCTCGCTCTTCCCTCACTATCTGCTCTCCAGTGCTAACTTGATGAAGACACACCCACAACAGTTCAGTCCCCTCTGTATGGGAATTTCCCACAGGCTGTGAGAGAACTTGGAGAGTGACAGTTTTCCCACGGAGGACTGCCCCTCCCTCTCTCTATCTATCTGAGAGCTGTGCAGTCCTGGTCCCAAGGTCCCTGTCGTTGGGGAAGGAGAGGAGTTCTCCTTACCTCCTTCCACTTCCTCCAGGGGTTCCAGCACCTCCACCTTCAGGTGTAAGGCTGCGTGGGTCTCTCAGACATCTTTTGTGTTGTGTGAATGTCCTCTGTTGGTATATGAATGTCCTTTCTGTTGTATCTTGTGGGAGGGGGCGGGTCTAAGGGGGAAAGCTCTCTTCGCCATGATGCTGCCATCACCTACTTTTTTTTTTTTTTTTTTTTTTTGTGAAGAAGATTGTCCCTGAGCTAACATCTGCCAATCCTCCTCTTTTTTTTGTTGAGGAAGACTGGCCCTGGCCTAACATCTGTGCCCATCTTCCTCTACTTTATATGGGACGCCATCACAGCATGGCTCAACAAGTGGTGTGTTGGTGCACACCCGGGATCCGAACCGGCGAACCCCGGGCCGCTGCAGCAGAGCGTGCGTACTTAACTGCTTGCGCCACCGGGCCGGCCCCTTGGTTTTTTTTAATAGACAGTTTTAACAAAATAGACAGTAATAAATTTTACTAAGATATTTGATCACCCTTACTCCACATACTTCTTACCATATCTCCTGGTTTTGATTCTCTTGTTATTTAAGAGTGTTTTTCCAAGTACTCACTGTTTTTAATTTAGGTCTTTGTGTAGCAGCCCTTCTGTGATCTTGTATAACAGAATATTTTAATTATATGCTCCCATTTGAATGAAAGTTTGGATATAAACATTCTGAATTTAAAATTTATTTTCTTCAATAATTAAAAAACTTTTGTTCTGGGCCGGCCTGGTGGTGCAGCGGTTAAGTGCATGCGCTCCGCTGTGGCGGCCCGGGGTTCACAGGTTCAGATCCTGGGTGCACACCAATGCACCACTTGCTAAGCCACGCTGTGGCGGCATCCCATATAAAGTAGAGGAGCATGGGCACAGATGTTAGCCCAGGGCCAATCTTCCTCAAGAAAAGGGGGAGGATTGGCATTGGATATTAGCTCAGGGCTAGTCCTCCTCACAAAAAAACAAGAAAACAAAAAAACTATTGTTCCTTTGACTTGTTTTCAAGACATCTGATGTGTCTGGTTGTTTTTTCTTTGTAGATGATCTGTTCTTTCTTGCTGTAATCTTGTAGAATTTTTTCCTGACTTTTGTATTCTTTAAAATTTATTAAAATTTGAGTTAGTGTGAACTCTTTATCTCATCTGTTTGGAAAACTATAGATCTTTTTAAGCTGAGGCATTTCATCTTTAGTTCTCGTAAATTTATCTCCTTTATTTCTTCAAATGTTTTCTCCCCTCATTGAAAAATTTTCTCTTTTCTGTTATTCTTGTTGGCTGAATGTTTTCACCTTTACTTTTATCCTCCAGAGTTTTAATTTTTCTTTTATATTTTCTTTCTTTTTATCCTTTCCTGATGACTTCTGAGACAGTTCTTCAATCTGAGCTTTAAATTAACTGATTTGTTCTTTAGCTGCTAGGTTTTTTTGGTCTAATCTTTCCATGTGATCTTTTTCTTTTTGTTTTTGGTTTGTATTCCTAATATCTTTCTTTCCTTAAGTTGTTTATCATGGTTATTTAAAAAATGTTATCTTTGTATCAGTAATGGTCCAGTCAGCAGACAGAAGCCACACCTGTAATTTGAATATAGAAAAAGTAGTGTAAAGAATTAAGTAGAGTTGCATGTAATTGAAAAGCCAAAAAGAGAATGCTAAATTATCAGGGAAATAGCAATTGCTGGAAGTTGTTTCTACCTCTAGGACTGGAGAAATAAAGAGAAGAGGTTGGAATTATCAAATCTTAGAAGCTTGGAGGATGGGCCCCATGTGGCTGGATCTCTGAAAAGGAGCACTAACTAGCTGGTGCTGGTGCGTCAGCAAATGTTGGAAAAAGTGCAAAGGCAATTCAGGTACTGATATGGAGAGGATCTACTACTATCAGGGTGAAGAGATGTTATTAGTGTTGATACTGAACCTCTTAATCTCACGTTTGTGTGCCTGATGTGCAGTAAGCCAAACACTGAGACATCAGTGCTTGGAGATGGAGAAAGGTTTGTTTGAATTGGCTGAGATGAGAAGGCAGGAGCGTGGGTTCTCTCAAATCTGCCTTAACAAGAGAAGAAGGCAGGGCATTTTATAGAATTTAAGGGGTGAGGTAAGAGGAGTTTCCAAGAAACAAAAGGGTAATCCATGTTTCTTTCACTCTTGATAAGCCCCTGGGCAATCTGACTTCTGGGCATCAATGGCAGCTGCGGGGCTGGTTATCTGGTGATCCTTGAAGGCATTCTTTCTTTTGTAAAACAAGCTCATAAATCCTTGTGACCCTTGAGTTACCCCTCAAGTTAAACAGGAAAACAGCAAATTGAGAAGATTAACTTCTTCTCATAACAAGGTCGAAAAGTAATCTTATTGAATATTTATAGTAACCCTCAGGTACCTGACTTCAGTATGTTGCTCACAAGAACATGAAGCATGAGGAAAACACACATGAGAAAACAGGCAGGAACAAGTTCTTTCTTTCTCCTCCAGCCTTGCATTCTCCCACTAACACTTCCTATTGGCAGAGCCTAACATGGAGCCAGCTGGCAAAGCAGAAGTGTGATGGGTAATGTCCCAGCACCGGAGTTGGAGAGTCAAGTGTAGGTTGGGTTTGGAGCTGAGAAATAATAACTCAATAACTGGCACATCTTATTTATTTCAAAACTGTGCTCAGAGGGTACATGTTTTTCATTTTGTTGTTGTTCTTTTCAGGTTGTAGGCCATTGTAGATTCAGCCCACCACAGTCATGATGTGTTACCCTTTTTATATATTGCTGGATTCGGTTTGCTAATGGATTAAGGATTTTTGCATCTCTTTTCATGGGTGATATTAATAAGTAGTTTTCTTTTCTTGAATTGACTTTTTCTAGTTTTGGTATTAGAGTAATAATGCTGGCTTCACAAAATGAGATGGAATGTGTTGCCTCCCCTTCTATTATTTGAAGGATAAGTGTGAGTTTATAAAATAAAAATATCTGTGAAAGAGAAGTACTATTTAGTCCTTAAATTTTTGATAGAATTCACCATTGAAGCCGTATGGGCTGGATTTTTCTTTGTGGGAAGGTTTTTTTTCAAATTTTCATTTTGAAGTATTTTTTATTTACAGACAAGTTGCAAAGATAGTACAGAGAGTTGCCGTATCCCCTTCAATAGTACCAGTCAGCTATTTTATAGAATGTCCCTCAGCTTGTGTTTGTTTTGATACTTTCTCATGATTAGACTACAGTTATGAATTTTGGGAGGAATTCCACAGTGATCTCACATCATATCGGGGGGGTTAACTTTGATCACATGGTTGGTTAGAAGTGAGTCACTAATTCCGGTCCCCATTTAAGGGGAGAGGAATTAAACTCCACTAACTTTAATAGAGGAATATCAAAGAGTTTGTGGACATATATTAAAACCACAATGATTAACAAATATTTTGAGGGAGATACTTTGAGGCTATCCAAATATCCTCTTTCTCCTTTAAGTTTTGTCTTATCTGCAGCAATTATTACTGTCATGTTCTAGTGGTGATTTTCTATTTCCCTCATACCTTTTCTGTTTTTTTTTGTGTCTGTGTGTGAGGAAGATCAGCCCTGTGCTAACATCTGCCAATCCTCCTCTTTTTTTTGCTGAGGGAGACTGGCCCTGGGCTAACATCCGTGCTCATCTTCCTCCACTTTATATGGGACACCGCCACAGCATGGCTTGCCAAGCGGTGCGTCGGTGCACACCCGGGATCTCAACCGGCGAACCCCGGGCCACTGCAGCGGAGCGCGCACACTTAACCACTTGCTCCACCGGGCTGGCCCCCCTTTTATGTTTATTATTTGGAATTCTTCTGTAAGGAAAGTATGTCCCTTCTCCTCTATTTATTTGTATCAGTATGGATTCATGGATATTTATTTTTGGGGTTGGTTATAATCAATATTATTATTTATTTTGTCCTCAAATTGTTCCAGCTTTGGCCATTGGGAGCTCTGTCAGATTGGCTTTTTGTCTTTTTGTTATGCTCCATATTTTTTTTCTTTTTTGAGTACTTCCTAACTTTCTGGAATTATAAGATAATCTAGGTTCATTTTATATTTTTCCTGCCCAGCTGGAAAATCAGCCATTTCTCCGAATAGCCTTGGTTCCTTTGATTGGAAAATGGTATTTAGAAACCAAGATCTGGTGCTAGTGATACTGAGCAATGGGCTCGCTTTGCTCGCCACAATCTGAGCCTGTTAATCACAATGAGTTAGAGATCAAGAAACGAAGTTTAATTAGATTAGCTGGCAAATTGGAAGACGGGTGACTAATGTCTCAAAAACCGATCCTCAAAGATTACAGAATTTTCAGGTAGTTATATAGGAAAAATGGGCAGTAAGGAGGGCGTTCAGAGCTACATGATGGACTCCAGGACCTCTCACTGTTCTTTTCTTCTGTCAATGATGATGAATATCTATAGATGCTCTTGCTTCCTGGAGGCCTTCTCATTCCCTGGGAAAATTCATTAAAATTATTAAGAACAAAGCTATCAAAGTACCTCAGCAGGGGTTATGTGCACAGGATCAGGGCCAGAGAATCATGAAAGCGTGTAGCAATTTATAATGATCACATGCTAGAGAGGTTTCAACTAAGAAGGGGTTATTTAGTATAATAAGATGGCCTCACTTATGTTCAGTTACAAGATGGCCTTATGTATGTTCATTTACACTAGGTATGCTCATTGCTACTGGCGTGTCACTGTTTTTAGGCCCTTTCAGGCCTAAAACAAGGAAGTATATGTAGGTATACTAACTTAATAACACTTATCTATATTTCTGCCTGCCTATCTATCTATCTATCTATCTATCTATCTATCTATCTATCTATCTATATCATCTGTCATCTCTATGTATAACATGTAAGTATGCATGACTTCAGACTAATATCTTTGACTCTAAATCCAGCACTGCAGGCAGGGTTCATTCTAGCCTCCTCTCTTTGCTTATTTGTAACTTCTTTCTCTGACAGTGAGAAAACTGGCTCACATTATCTACAATTTATTTAATTATTGTTCAGTGGTATACATGTGTTATAGTTTCAGAATTACTAACCTGTGCAGTGTGAAAACAAATTTACCAGTTAGAGTACAATGTTTACTTATAGTTCTTGTTTTTTCTTTAGCTTTACAATTATCTAGTTAAAATATCCTTTCCCAATGTTACTTAAGGTAGCAACTTTTTTCCCCATACCTGTCAGTGAGGGTATGTTATACATTTTCCATACAGAGTTGGATTCATTTGTCACATTCTGCATTTCATCCTAGGATTCCTCTTGCCCTTCTGGTTGATTTTTAAAAAATTTATATACATTAAGGTTTACTGCTTATGATGCATATAGTTCTGTGGGTTTTGACAAATACATATGGTCATGTATCCATCAACACAGTTATCATATAGAACAGTTCCAAGACCCTAAAAATTCCCTTGTGTGACCTCTTTGTAGTCAACTCCTCCCCCATCTTAGGGGGAAAGCTTTTAGTTTCCTATCATTAAGTATGATGTTAGCTGTAGGTGTTTTGTCTATCAAATTGAGGAAATTTTCTCAATTCCTAGTGTGTTGAGAGTTTTTATCATAAATGTTTGCTGGATTTTGTCAAATGCCTTTTCTGCACCTATTGATACAATTGTATGATTTTTCTTCTTTAGCCTG